TCAGAGGCATTCCCAGTTTACTCTTTGGAGGTCTTCATGTTTGCAAGTATTCAATGACAGTGATGGGACAGATAGTACTGTGATAGGAAGGGGTGGTGAGGAAGATATACAGGTGAATTGTCATTGTGCTGTACTTAGAGGCTTAAATTACTACTATCTCACAGAAGAGTCAGACATTACATCTTCACTGTGCATTACTTCATTATTTAAACTGCTACTAGAGTCAAGTGCAAGTAGCTGTGAGACTATGGTAAAGAGGAACCTGGACCTGGTTTTTGGGAGGAATCAAGGAAGGCTCCCTTAGAGATAGCAAGTAATATTTCAACGAATAATAACTTGTCAGATAAAGAATAGTAGAATGGGGCTGGGAAGGTGGCTCAGCGGTAGAGCACTTGCCTTGCATGCATGAGGCCCTGGGTTCGATTCCTAAGCACCATATAAGCAAAAAGAAAAAAAAAAGCGGGAAGTGGCACTGTGGCTCAAGTGGTAGAGCGCTAGCCTTGAGCTGAAGAGCTGAGGGACAGCACCTAGGCCCAGAGTTCAGGCCCCACGACTGGACCAAAAAAAAAAAAAATAGTAGAATGTCAGCCTAACAAGTGCAAGGCCCTGAGTTCAAACCTCAGTACTGTAATAAAAAAAGTTTGAGGAAGAAGCCAGTGGACTTAGAAATGAAGTTTATTAGAACAAGAAAACTTCAGTACTTTGAGAAACTTTTCTATTTAGTGTATTTTCATTAATCTCAAACATCCTGTTCTGACCTCTACTGGTTAGCTTGTATACTGCAGTTCCAAATTCTATAGAAGAACCCTCAATAACCCATGTTTTCTTTTAAAGGCTAAATTATACCCCACGCCCCCCCCCCCCAAAAAAAAAATGGTATCTGTTTTTAGGGGCTGGGAATGTGGCTTACTGGAAGAGTGCTTTCATGCCAGCATGCACGAATGGTTCGATTTCTCAGTACCACATATACAGAAAAAGCCAGAAGTTGCACTGTGGCTCAAGTGGTAGAGTACTAGCCTTGAGCAAAAGAAGCTCAGGGACAGTGCCCAGGCCCTGAGTTCTAGCCCCATGACTGGCCAAAAAAAAAAATAAAAATAAATTATGGACCTCTCAGAAGATACGTTGTTACTTATATGCTATGGCAGTACTATGTATTGGCATATGTGTATGGCATATGTGGTGCCAATTGCCTACTTTAGTATGAGTTCACAAAACAAGTAACACTTAAAAAGTTGATAATATTGCTACTGAGCCATTAAAATGTTCACAAAATCACTTCTTTTAAATACAGATCTCCCATGTATATACTAATCTGCCTGACCCTGGTTAGCTTCCAAGATCAGAGGAGACTGGATACATTCAGGATGGTAAAATTATAGAAGAAAAACAGTATATGATGAAATATTTTCATAGTTATGAATCATGATCTTACATTGTTTCTTTCCTTCAGAATTAAAATACAGCTATGACTGAGCTCAGTGGTAGAACACTTACCTAGTATGCTTCAGACCCTAGGTTCTAGCTCCAGCACTACAAAAATAAATTGAAAACAGCAGGTTTTAGTCCAATAATCATCCTACTAAGGCTAAAGATTGGCTTTAAACATGTCTGATAGTTTTCATCTGTTTTGCAGTTGCGTTAGTATTTTCATTTTCCACTTATATCTATGGAGGCCAAAAATGAAAAAAGATTTTTTAAATGGCATAAGCAGATGTCCATGATACTGTTATATTTGAAACTGAGTGTTCTGCTGGCATCTGCTCACCATGTTGTTACTTGAAATGCTCATTAATCAGCTGACATATAAATCTAGTGAACAGTGATTTAGGGCCATTGATACGTAATATAAAAATAGTTGTTGGAATGCAGAGATTTGTGAGCCCTGAGTTATAGAGCTTTAGCTTTTACTATGTGAATATATGAGTCACATATTTCAGTTGCAAACATCAAAATCCAATTTGGCAGTTTCAAGGGGAAAAGTATTAAAATGATAAGCTGGATGCTGGTGGCTCATGCCTTTAATACTAGCCACTCAGGAAACAGGTCTGAGGATCACAGTTCCAAGCCAATCTGGGCAGAAAAGGCCAGAAGTGCTGCTGTGGCTCAAGTGGTAGAGCGCTAGTCTTAAACACAAAGAGACTCAGGGACAGTGCCCAGACCCCAAATTCAAGCCCCAGGGTTGGCAAACAAAAAACCAAGATCATAATTTCAGCATCAACAGAAAGCCTAGAGAAGTAGGCTGGGAAACTAGGCAACTGTAACTTTACAGACCAGGAGCAAAGAAGATACCACCTCCACTTGGTGCCACCACTTATTTGCTAAAGCCAAAGGCTGAGAACTCTACCTTGACACTTCACAGCAGTCACGTTGAGAACTCAACTTGCTTCACTTGCCATGGTCCCCAAAGAGAACTATTCTAGACTTAGGTTGTATATATGCTCTCAGGTGAGTCTGGGAGTATTGGAACCATGCAAAAGCAGAATATCTGGAATTTCTACTTCTGCAGTGAAAGGCATGCTATTCCTCCCAAGCTCTGAATGCAGACTTCCCAAATATAGCAAGTTCAGATCCTGGGCAGCCAGGAAGAATGACAGATGCTGACCACAGTGAATCCAGACAAATCATTCTTTGTAAGCCTAATTTTTTTCTATAAAGCAGATTTACATGGCTGGGGAGATTGTGCATGCTCAATCTGACAAGTACCGACTGTGCAAAGGGACAAAGACAAGCAAGCACACTAGTCTTTGGAGAAAAGAGAGTCAACAGCAAGTGGTAGGATAGAGACATATGTGGGACAAACTGGGGAGAAAGAAGGGAGAAATAGTCTGTTTGTAAATATTCTTATATTTAAATTCTTATATAAAAGTAAATGAGACTTCTAATGTGGCATGTGATGCCACTAACCAGAAAGATAGATAGCACGGTCTGGTAAAAGCTGCTGTTGTACTCCTTTGAAAGTCTTCGCTGTGTCAGAAATGCCAAAACAATGTTGGCCAGCACAAATCCAGGAACTTGGGATTTTAATTGCTTATTGACAATCATATCCAGACTGCTGGTTTCATACAATGGGGCACTTTTCAAAGGATTAAACATGTGATAGCCTTGGCTAATAAGCTAAATCATCAAGTTTATGGTAGTGTGAGTTCATTCTTGTTCTGATTTGATTTAAGCATGGTCTTTTTACTTATCTGGCAACTTTGTGTCTTAAAAATAAATTGTCTTTAGATCTAGATAGGCTTATTTTCCCATTTATTAAAAAAAAAAAACACCAACATTAAGAGCTGGGGTCATAGCTTGATGCTGTGTTACCAGTGGATGGTGGAGGAGCTGAAATCCCAGTTTCTTGGCATATCCAACAAAGAACTGAAGTTTGTGGTACACTAGGCTCAAGATAGATGGCGCTAGGTTGGGAGCAGCTCAGCTTTTGGAGATTTAGAAGCTCTAGTTTATTTTAGTCTAACAAGGTTAAAGAAAAAAACATTCCTTGCTTCCCCTGTAGGAAATGGGAGTTAAAGCTGTTACCTACTTCCTTTTTTCTTGTGAGCTGGGAGAATACACAGTCATCTTATACTACCTCACCTTTAAACTCTGGTTCTGGAAAGCTGTTACTAAGTATTCTAAAATAGGGAGATGTCTGGAAGTATACCCTAAACTTAGGGACAATTTCTGCTCTATAGTCTTTACTGGTTTACCTAGTAGAGCCAAGATTTTACCATTGGAAAGGAGAGAGCAATTTTAGGTAGCCTTAGCCCTTTTTGGGTCTCCTGGGCACGGTAACAGCATTTAAATGGAGGGATTCTTACATTGTTAGTTGCTTCCTGGTTTCTACTTCTAGGTTGAACCCTTTTAATAAACTAAGAATATAAAAAATGGAAAAAGAAGCCAGGCCCCAGTGGCTCACACCTGATCTTAGCTACTCTTGAGGCTGAGATCTGAGGATCTCGGTTGGAAGCCAGACCTGAAGAAAAGTCCTTGAGACAATTTTATCATCTGTTAAACACCAAAAAAGCTAGAAGGTGGTGTGACTTAAATGGTTATTTGATTAGTGACTAACTTCTCAACCAACGAATTTGTTGTTTCTTTTTTGGTATTAGGATTAATACAGGACATAGCACTTGCTAGGCAAGCGCTTTGCCACCGAGGTACATCCCAGGCCTCCACCAAATAATTTTACAACAAACCTGCTGGGCACGGGTGGCTCACGCCTGTAATGCTAGCCACTCAGGAGGCTTAGATCTGAAGATCAAGGTTCAAAGCCAGCCCAGAATGAGAGCCCCTTCCCCAACTAACCTCTACAAACAACAAAAAGCGGAAGTGGTGCTGTGGCTCAAGGTGGTAGAGCGCCAGCCTTGAGCAAAAGAGCTCAGGGACAGCGCCCAGGCCCTGAGTTCAAGCCCCACCACCGACAACAAGAACAACAAAAACCTTAACAAACTTTTTTCTCTTCTGCCCATAATAGTAGCAGCAGCAGCAGCAGCAGCAGCTAACAATACACTGGCTCTGGCATGCATTGTGCCACGTGCTGTACATACAACTGAGGGAATACGTGCTCCCTGGCGGGTCACCCGCGCCTTCAGTGCGTGGCCCCTGCCCGGCGTGCACTTCCTGAGGCGGCGCCGCGCGCTGTTAGGTAACTGGTCCGAGAATCTTCGCGCTGACCCCTTTGCGCACCTCCCGGCAGTTTCCGCCCACAGATTCTATTTCTGCCCCTTCCGAGGCCCCACGGTCCGAGCCTGAGCCCCGTCCGCCGGCTCCCCTCTTGGGCCCTCGCTGCCTGCAGACTGCTCTGGGCCGGGGTGGTCTGGAGCCTCCCGGCACCAGCTCCCCCCGCCGCTCCCCCGCGTCACGTGACCGCGGAGCCCGTGGGAGCAGCCGGCAGCTGTCCCCGGGCGGGGCTCGGCGCGCAGGTCCGCCCGCTCCTCCGCCCGCCCGCTCCTGGACGCGCGCCGCAGTCCTCGAGCTGCGCTGCGGCTCCGGCGGCTCCGGCGTCGGCGGGGGGCGGCTTCCAGGGCACCGCGGGCCCAAGGCTCCCTCCGAGGTAAGAGGCGCTGGCTGCAACTGCATGCTCAGGCTCGGGATGCCCCATCCAGAGCGGGGGAAGAGGGGGGTCGGCGCTGCTTCCCTGGGTGCTTCTCCCGATGGACGGCGGGGTGCTGCCCTGGCTGGGCCGAGCTTGTGCACGTGATCGGGCACTGGAAACCCAGGGCCTAGCGAAACCATGAAGGGATGCCCGAGGCAGCCCGCGCCACCTGGAGCCGCCCTCCTCCCAGGAAGAGCTGTGCCTCGCCTTCCGTGTTTGTTAAACCGCTTGGCCCGGAGCAGGTACCTCCGCAGTTGCCTCCATCTCCAGGTTCATGAGTGTGTCAAAAGTGCAAGAGAAAGAATCGAACTGGGGATGGGCAGAGCCGTCACCTAGGATGCAAGAATAAGTCTGGTCTTCTGTATTTTGTGTTACCCTCTTGGAGATTTGGTCTCTCTATCATTGAAAAAGGAACATCTCCCCTGCCTTGTTCAGGGAAGATAGGAAAACCACTTGAAGAGCTAGCACTCCTGAAACAGTCAGCCCTGGATTCAAGTTGCAGTTCTACCACTTACTAACCATGTGACCTTGAGCCACATCCATTCCTGGGCTCTTAAAAGTAGATAATAATAGTACTTCGCTCATAGATTCCTGTGAGGATTAAGTGTAAATGGTTTAGCCCAGTGCGGGCCTAGAAGGCCCCAAAGATAGTGCTATTTATATAAGTATTATTAAAATAGTAAGCTATGGAGGGCTCCAGGAGAGGGATTTTTAGTAGAACATCATATTCAGTTACTGTGTATGTGATCCTAAAACCCCCTTTTCCGGCTCTGGGCCCCTGCCCCTGTGCCTGCTGTTTTACATTGGCATGTGAACCTGTTGTTCCCACCAAATCAGCCAGGCAGGATGGGAACATTAATTTACTTGAGCAGATGGGTATCAGATTCCCTGGGAGGGGAAAGAAACCTGCCAGGCATGTGCTGCCACCGTAAAAAGCACATCACAGTGATTGACTGTCATGACTAGGAAACCATGTAGCCCAGCTGTCTCCTGCAAATAGAGAAACTGGACCTAGAATGAGAACAGGACTTGGATTTTTCTCAGGACCCAACAGAATGTTGGCCAGGCACCATGCTTTCTCTTTGATCTAACTTCATTCCTCAATTCTACATTTATTCAACAAGTATTTGAAGAATATCCATTATGGATTTTACACCCACTAAGGGCTGGGTGTAGAGATGTGAACAAGACAATGGTCTCTTGTTGTTTCCATAGCTACCTATGCTAGTTTGGAGTTATATAAAATCATATGGAAATATATTTCCCTCTGCTAGTTCTCAGTATGTTTTATAATAACAATAAGTTCCAGCTCCCAGTGAGCTTGCCTCATAGCAGCTGGCCCCAAGGGACCAAAGGACACTAGAAGTCTGAATTATTTCATGATCCCTCATAGTTTTCTCCAGCTTTGGGGAAGTCTGGTAAGATTTTAAGAGACTGGAATAAAATATTGTTTTGTCACAGTTTTTAGGAAAGGATTTCCTTCTGGCCTAGAACACTTGGATTCCTTTGTCTTTCTGATTTCAGGCCTCTTATCTTTTTTATTTTTATTTTTTTTTTAGGTTTCTAAAAAGAGAGTTCCCAGCCTAAAGTCTTCATGCTGGTTTCCATGGTTATCAGGGGAATTGTATTTTCACGATAGCACAAGTAGCTTATTAAGCAATGCAAGGCAGTCACCAACCAGTCCAAGGGATTCTGCTTTCTGGTAATGGTCTGTTTCCTGTTCTTTCCCAGCTCTTGAGCAGACACATTTTCCTTTTCCTTTTTCATTCCTTCCTTCCACTTTTTGCTTCAATAAACATGCATTGGTGACAGGGCCTAGAGGAATGAGAATATACAAACATAGAGACCTTGGCCTGAGGGACCGCCCAGTCCTTGGGGGACATGAGACAGGGTATTACTGTACACAAGGGGCAGATCGGTGGGCCTATGGAAAGGTGTAAGCAATCGTGTCAGAAATGATCTCAGAGGCAGGAATGGTAGTAGCCTGGGCAACAAAGACATTGCTTTTCAAAGGATGTGTGAGAGAAATATATTTCTTTGATGGTCCTGTCACAGAGAAATCATAGATGGTACAACAGCATTTTTAAAAAGGTTTTTGGTATTAACATATATTAGTTGTACAAGGGAGTTTTAGAGTCATTTCCATGCATACATATAAAATACCCCAATCAGACTCAACCATTCTGTTCTGTCAGTTTGCTTTAATGAGTGAACCTCTTAAGTCGCTCCTGGGCTTGGATTGAAATGCCTGCTGATTTCCTTCGTAACCCTCTGTTAATTTAGTGATTTATTATTTTTCCACTCATCTGAAGTACTGGATATATAAAAGGATAGAGCAGCATTTGGTTAAGATTTTTGTCTAATTCAGTTAGATGGTTAACTTTTTTTTTTTTTTGGTCGGTTGTGGGGCTTAAACTCTGGACATGGGTCTGTTGCTTAGCTCTTCAGCTCAAGGCAAGTGCTCTACCATTTGAGCCATAGCGTCACTTCTGGTTTTCTAGTGGTTTATTGGAGTCTCACAGACATTCCTGCCCGGGCTGGCTTTGAACCGTGATCCTCTGAATACCTTCTGAATACCTAAGATTACAGGCGTGAGCCACCAGCACCAGGCTAGATGTTTAACTTCTATGTCTTATTTCACAAGTCAGGTTCTAATGCAGTCACATTTACCCCCACCCCCACCCCAATGAATCTCCCAAGCCCTCTAATGCCCTGTGTGCTAAGAATTCTAAGCCCTCTGGGGGTGTAGACAGTCCAGTGGTGTCAGTTATACCCTCATTATGGACAGGAAAGAACAACAGTGCATCCACATCATTATTTCTGACACAGCTACATGGTTTCATTGCTAAAGAGCTGTCCTACACTGTCCAAGAATGTGTGTGGTCCCTGCCAGCATGATCCCTTGCTTGGACTCCCGTGTTAGAGCTTTTCTAAGCTTCTGCTCACATGCTTGGCCACGCTACCCAAAGTACTGCATGCTGAGCCTTTTTTTGAGCCTGTCTCTGGACTGGTTTCCCCTGCTGTCCTGGGGTCACCTTAGAGTACTCAAGACATTTGACTGTTTTCACTTTTTTTTAGGGTTTGAGGGTTCAATATATTTTTCTAAGCTTAACCCAAGTCCCTTTGGTAAATTGGTTCTATCACTGGAGAATGGGTGAGGGGTTCCCTTAGCTTCCCAGTTTACACACACACACAGCAAAGCAAAGCAAAACAAAACAAAAACTAATCCTAACTACTCAGGAGGATGCCAGCGGAAAATCTGAGACTTATCTCCAAGTAACCACCAAAAAGCCAGAAATGGTTTAAGTGGTAGAATGCTAGTCTTGAGCAAATAAAGGTAAAGAACAGTGCCTAAGCCCTCAATACACACACACATACACGAAAAAGAAATGGAAGTTTGCCACTGTCTATGCAATACTTTATCTAAATCATAACCTTTTTTTTCTGAGAAACCACTGTCTTGACTTTTGAGATAATCATCTCTGCTCTTCCTGGATTTGCATCCAGAAAGTATAGTTTGGAGTTCTGCTAGTGTGACTTTATACATATAGAATCATACTGATCACAGTTTGTGTTTTACTTCTTTTACTCATTTTGTTGTTTCTGACATATATTCCTATAATATCCTCATGTTCATTGCTAACAATGATTTATGAGTAGGTAACTATAAATTTATAGATATACCAGACAGTTATTTTGGTTATTGTGCTAAATTATTTCCTACCAGCAGTATTCAAACTCACTTGCAAATAATTGATTTTGTTAGTTTGTATTATTTATTTATATTGTGTGTGTGTGTATGTGTATTGCACTCATGTCTTTGCTCTCTTGTTCAGCTTTTTCCTTCATGATTGGCACTCTACTACTTGAGCTACAACTCCACTTCCAGCTTTTTGTTGATTTATTGGTGACGAATCTTAAGTATGCCTGTACAGGCTTTAAACCATGAGCCTCAGATCTCAGCCTTCTGAGTAGCTAGGATTATAGCCCACGAACACCCAGCTGTCAGCTTCAATTTTAACTGTTCTTGTGAATATGTCATGATAGCTCTCCTGTGGCTTTAATTTTATTTCCTTGGTTACTACTGAGGTTAAACACTTTTTTTGTTGGCCAGTCCTCAAGGCTTGGGTACTGTCTCTGAGCTTTTATCCTCAAGGCTAGTGCTCTGCTGTTTTGAGCCATAGTACCACTTCCAGCTTTTTTTTGGGGGGGGGGGGGAGGTTAATTGTAGATAAGAGTCTCATAGACTTTCCTGCCTGGGCTAGCTTTGAACCATGATCCTCAGATCTCAGCTTCCTGAGGATTAGGATAGCAAGGATTTTTAGGCCTGAGCCATGGATGCCTCGCTTTGAGCACTTTTTTTTTATTAGTTGATTGGATAGCCTCTTTTATACACTACTGGTTTCAGTCTTTTTTTGCCTATTTGTTAGGGTTGGGCTTTTTTTTGCAGCGCTTGGGAAGTGCAAAGTGGTATACAGCCACTGGACTACATCTTCAGCCCCACTCTGTCTCACTCTCTTAAATGGCAATGTTTTAGAACACTTCAGGACTTGACATGGAAAGAAATTCGCAGATGAGGAGACAGGAAAGAGGGACAGACTCAGGTGGGTAGCAGTTTTCTGGGGAAGGGATAGATGTTAGTTGTCAACTAATATTTGTATCTGGGAGGTGGATGTACTAGCCAGTGAAGAAAATTTGAGAGGAACATCAGAATTGTTCTCCACAGATGTGTGGCTCACATCTGTAATGCTAGCTTCACAGGAGGCTGAGATCGGAGGATTGAGGTTCAAAACCAGCCTTGGGCAGGAAAGTCCGTAAGACCCTTATCTCCAATAAACTACTCAGAAAAAGTTGGAAGTGGTGTTGTGCTCTAGTGGTAAAAGTGCTAGCCTTGAACAAAGAAGCTCAGGGGCAAGGGCTAGGAGTATAGCTTATTAATAGAGCAATTGCCTAGCATG